CTGTGGCTCAAGTGGTAGAGCGCTAGCCTTGAGCTGAAGAGCTCAGGGACAGCGCCCAGGCCCAGAGTTCAGGCTCCCCCCCCCCAAAAAAAAAAAGATCGATCAAGATGCACTGTATTGACAGATTGACATGCTGAATTGTAATCCTTTGTAGAATGACTTGAAGATTATATATACAAATATATCCGCACAGATACACATATAATACATATATGTGCGTATACACATGTATATCTGCATACACACATTGTATACATATGTGTACATGTCTGTGTATACCTATACACCTATACACATAGGTATCTATCTATCTATAGCTATATCTATAATAGATGAGTGGTTCTCTACCACACTAAATTCCATGAAGAACGTGTTGGGCTCGATGTCACAAGGAACTTTCAAAATCATCTTGAGTTGAGGGATGCTGGATCCTGAGGCCGAAATCGTGGTGATCTCTGGAGCCTGGGAGGTGAAATCAGAGCACCGAGCCACAGCGAGAGAAGCGTGGCGGGAACTTCGGGGGGTGGGGGGGGAAACCCAGCCGGCAGGTCATCTCGCGAGACTTGCCGCCGAGCCGCTGAGCCCCGGCGAGAGCTAGTTCCGGTCTCCAGTGTCAGCACGTCGATCCGCAGCCTCCTCGCCCGCCGCTTCCATGGCTACTGTGGGGCGGGCCGGAACTTTTGTACGTAGGAACGGCTTTGCACGGTGGAGCTTGCCGGGGAAGGGGAGGAGCACAGGGTGCCCTCCTCTTCCTGTCGCGGCCCCGAAGCGAAGCGGAGCGCCTCGGATCCCGGAGCGCGGTCCCCAGACCGGCCGCGTCTATGGTCGCTCCGCGGAACGCTTCGCCGGCTGGTGCTGTTTCATCAGGGAGGGCTGTATTCCATGGCAGGGAACTTTTGGCAGAGCTCCCATTAGTAAGTGACCTTTCCGGTTTGCATCCGAGGCCGGTTCGCGATGGAGAGCCGATAGGGGTGGTGAGCTGGGGCCTGCGGCTCCCCCGGGCCTGGATCCATGTCCCCCCCGTCTTGTAACAAAACCGGAAGCGACCTGTGATGGCGAAGGGGGGGGCGGTGAAGAGGGGGCGACTTCCTCTCCCCAGCAGGGTTTTGGCGGGTGATTTGGTGGGGGAGAGGGATCAGGGAAGGGAGGGACTCAAGTCTGCAGGAAAGGAGGTGAATTTGGGGGTTCCAGGGTTGTCTGGGTTTGTGGGGGGAGATGCTGTGAGGACTGGCGCGGGAGGCCTGACTCCGGAGAGGGCTGGGAGGTGGCGGGTTTAGGACAGGTTTATGGATGGCTTTTGGCCCGGATGTGATCAGAGAAACGACCTTGCTGATCCTTGCTTTTGTATTTTCTATGTTGAGTAGTTTTCATCACCCAAGGAATGTGTCAAGCGTGTTTGTTTCCTGACTCTGCTTCATTAATGTCTAGTTGGGATTTTAGGTTGATAAAGTATAGGTCTTGTACCCTCAAGATTTTATCCATTCATTAGCTTGTAGCTGATAGTTTTTTTTTTTTTAAGCTCTATTTTCGCTGGGCGCCGTTGATTCAGGCTATGGCTAGCTATTACTCAGGAGGCGGAGGTCTTGAGGATCTAACCTAGCTTGAGTCTGTGAGGCCTATCTCCAGTTAAGCTACCAAGAAGCCGAAAGTGGACATGTGGCTCAAGGAGTAAAGCGCCAGCCTTGAGCAAAAGAGCTAAGAGATAGCATTCAGACCGGAATTGAAGCCCTAGGACTAGCACAAAAGACAAAACAAAAAAAAATGTATTTTCTAGGATAGAATGATGCAAGAGATGATCCCATCAGGATACATTGTACTTACAAACTGGCATGTTGAATGGCAACCTCTTAAAGATAATAAAAATGTAATTTAAAAAAAGAAGGGTATTGCATAAGTAAAGGAAAAAGAAGTGTATTTGCTGGATTGCCACAATTCACTAGTAAATTTTAGTTTCTGTCTGACCAACTGGAATAATAAAAAAAAGTACATTTGTTTAAGCAGGAAGTAAGCTATGTGATGGGGGCTGGTTAAACATTGATTTAGTTTTCCATTGTTTAGTTGAAAGATGAACAGGACTTGTTAAAGAAGATATCTAAATATTAATCATTTTTAGTGATCATTGATAATTGTAAAATTTTCTGGATACATATAGGATCAGTTCCTGTTGTTCAATTACTTTTTAGTCCTTTCCATGAGAAATAAAGAAACATTGGACTTGTAAGCCAGTTTCTAAAGATGGTGAATTTCTCCCATGAGAAATGGTTTCAGACTGGGAATGTGGCCTAGTGGTAGAGTGCTTGCCTAGCATGCATGATACCTTGGCTTTGATTCCTCAGTATCACATAAACTGAAAAAGCCAGAAGTGGTGCTGTGGCTCAAGTGGTAGAGTGCTAAGCCTTGAGCAAATGAAGCTCAGGAACAGTTTCTTCTACCTGAGTTCCAGCCCTAGGACTGGCGAAAGAAAGAAAAAAAAAGAAAGAAAGAGAAAGAAGGGAGAAGGGAAGGGAAGGGAGGAAGGAAATAAATAGTTTCAGGGAGATGGAATCCTTTGGGAACTTTAATACTAATCATACCATGTTGCTTGGGGAAAATTGAAATGGAAAAAAGATGAAGTGGAAATAAGGTGCTCCCTAACATAAAAAACATACAGCCTTTAAAACGTTAGGAAATTTAGGGTGTCTTTTCATGTGTTTCTGATGTTAGTGGAATTGATAGACTGAGGTATTTTTTAAAAGGCAAAATTAGCTGGGTATCAGTGGCTCACCTCAGTAATCCTATCTGTTCTGAAGGCAGAGATAGGGAGGTTAGAGCCTGGGAGAAAAGTTCTTCAGACTCTTACCTCCAATTAACCAGTAAAAATAAAAAGTTCTAGACTAGAGGGGTACCTCTTGTGGTAGACCACCAGTTATGAGTTATGGTAACTGTACATACACACAAAGACAAGTTATCAGTATGTAGAGATAAAAGTAGTTAGATGAGAATCATTAAATGCTTTCTTTTTAAGTGGATAAGAGGACATCAAATATTAAAGAATAAAATTAAGAGATGAATAAGATGAATATGAAGAAAGCCATAAAACTCCATGGTGGAACCTATTTTAATAAATGAACTTTGATTTTAGTATTGCAAGATGACCTCCCTTTTTTTCCCTTTTTTTTTGGGGGGGTACAATAATTCTGTACATCAAATCTAAGAAAAATTGTGATACAATGGTAATGTATAGCAGTAGAAAGTTTCTGAAGAATAGTAGCATGGATTTATTTTCTGTATTTTAATTTCTTAATGTTTTATGTTGTAAGGGCATAGAACAGGGAAAATAAATTGAAAACAGGACATTATAAATTATAAATCAGTACGTCAGTGACATTTAGCTGAATCTTATCTTTACATCTATACCAAAATAAACTCCATATTAGCAGCTAAAAGAAAATAATCTAAGGATATTGAGAAATTTGGGTGAAGTTTTAGAAATTATTTTAAACAAGAGAAGGCCTTTCAGTATATAACAAAGTAAATGATGGTCCATTTAAAGAAAAAATTAAAAGTATCAAGAAATATGTAAGTTTGAAGATGGGGAGGAGGGCTTGAATTCAAAGCCTGGGCTCTGTCTCTGAGCCTCTCTGTGCTCAAGGCTAGCATTCTACCACTTGAGCCACATTGCCACTTCCAGCTTTTTCTGTTTATGTGGTACTGAGGAATCAAACCCAGGGCTTCTTGCATGCTATGCATGTACCATTGAACCATTAAGCCACACTCCCAGCCCTTGCAGAAATTTTTACAGCTTATTTTATAAATGATTCCTCCACACTATACTAATTTGACATCAAAAGAAGCTGTTAATTTGAAAAAAAATGACAACTTTACTAGAAAATGGTCATATTAGAATTAATAGATAAATTAAGTGTATTTGGCCAATGAAGGCATAATGAGATCTTTAGTGAGAAACACTAAGTTGCTTTACCTTGCCTTTAAGCTTTTGTTATTAGATTTTTGTTTGTTTGTTTGTTTTTGTAATACTGGTAATGAAGCTCAGGGCCTTGTGCATCCTAGGTAGCACTCTATCACTGAATTATATCCTTGCCCTTTTCTGCTTTATTTTGAGGCAGGACCAGACTCATGATCTTCTTGCCTCAATCCCCCAAGTAGTTGCATTATACACATGACTTACCTCTAACTTTTGAAGTATGTGAAAAATTAGCAGTAACTCATAGGATTGATTTTTTTTTTTAATACAAGGTCTTATTATGTTGCCTAAGCTGGCCTCAGACTTGCTGTGCAGTCAAACAAGGCTGGTTTTGAATATGTGATTTCAGTTGTGGGGATTATGAATGTGTCTGTTGATCATCCAGAGTATCAGCCATATTGTTTAGAGAACTTTTTTGTTTTATCTTCTTTACTTTTATCTTATGTGATAGGGATCAAACTCAGCCCTAACATGCCTAGCAAATGCTGTACTACTGAACTACATTCTTAGTCATTTTTCATTTTGTTTTGGGACATAGTCTGTAGTTCTGGCTAGCTTCCATTTATGATCTCCTTCCGTCTCCCTAGTAGCTGAGATTACAGGCACATACCACCAAGCCTTGCTTACCTTTAAGGGAAGCCTTAGAACATATAAACTGTTAGTATGAATGGAAACTGTTGTAATTTGTTTTGGAGAGCAAGCTGACAATATGTATCAAAGATGCCAGCAAAACAGATCTATTTATCAGTTCTAAGAAATTGTATCCAATATATTACTAATCAAATATGCAGAAATAGTTAATTTTTATGTCTGCCAAGAATTGGATAATTCACTCTTAACTGTTGTGTAGCAGTTTAAAAGGATACCAAATAACAAATTCATTGTTTAAAATACTTCCTATATGTACTGAGCGACTTAGATTTCAGAATAGTATCTTGTGAGTCATTTAAATTTTATTTCATATCTCTGCTCAAAAGAAGTTCACTTGTCTAGGACTATGAGTGTAATAAAGTCTGAAGTAGCTTTTAACATGATTAAAATTTGTAAAGCAAGGAAATTAAATATCTTAGGTACCATAAAATGATGCCTAATAATTCCATTGTTATTTAATGTATCACTAACACAGAGTAAGCATGCTACTAAATAAAATACTAAGATGTCACTGTTGCTGGGTATTAGAAAGAGAGAATTACAGAGGAGAGGGGCGAGGTTAGACTGGAATAGTTTTCAGGGCCATACTTGCTTTATTGGTGAGATAATTCTCATTAATAATCCACATTTCAAGAAGTGAGAGAAATAATTGTGTTTTTTTTTGTTTTGTTTTGCTTTTTTGTTGTGGTGATGGTGCTAAAAATCTAATCCAGGCCAGGATCTTGCATATGCTAGGCAAGTGCTCTGCCATTCAGCTATATTCCCAGCTTTATGCCCAATATTGGCTTTTATGGTTACTTCTTAAACCTATGCATTTTGGAATAGGAACTGCTTGTTAAGTGTTAGTGTGTTTTCTGCAACTTCGTTCGTTTTCTATAACATAACTTTACATATTTATTTTTTAGTTTGCAATGGATTTTGGATAAACAAGATCTATTGAAGGAGCGCCAAAAGGACTTAAAATTTCTCTCCGAAGAAGAGTATTGGAAGTTACAAATATTTTTTACAAATGGTAAACTATTTTTTGTTGCTGTTGGTTGAAGTGGTATATAATTGGCTCCCTTCTTAGTGTTTTTATATGGTTACTTTTGATAAACTGTTGCATATTCATCTATCATGTTAGCACTCTGGTTAATCTAAATAAAGCTGTTTTGAATTTTACATATCAAAGATAATTTGATAGTGATGACTAATCTTACTGAGTCTTTATAATGCAACTCAGTTTAAAGTTGGCTAAAAAAAATACTCTGAGGATAAGTGATTCATTGAAATTGACATCCTGTAGTTGCTATTTTTACCTTAGAATTGTCCTACTATGGGAAAGGGATTTGGCCAGAAACCTTTAGTCTGCCATGGGATTTGTCATATGATTTTTCTAACCTTAGTTACTCTTCTGCAAACTTAACTGTTTTTGAGGGCGCATTATGGATTTTTGTCTTTAGGGCGCTGGTAGCTCACACCTGTAATCCTAGCTATTCAGGAGGCTGAGATTTGAGGATCGCTGTTCAAAGCCAGCCTGGGCAGGAAACTCCGTGAAACTATTTTTTTTTTTTTTTTGGTTGGTCATGGGGCTTGAACTCTGGGCCTGGTCGCTGTTCCTCAGCTCTTCAGCTCAAGGCTAGCGCTCTACCACTTGAGCCACAGCGCCACTTCCGGCTGTGGTGCTGAGGAATCGAACCCAGGGCCTCATGCATGCAAGGCAGGCACTCTACCACTGAGCCACCTTCCCAGCCCCCGTGAAACTCTTATCTCCAATAAACCACTAGAAAACTGGAAGTGGCGCTATGGCTGAAGTGGTAGAGCGCTTGCCTTGAGCTAAAGAGCACAGGGACAGCACCCAAGCCCAGAGTTCAAGTTCCAGGACCAACCAAAAAAATAAATAAAGTTATAGCTATACTCAGGAGGATATCTAATGTTTTCTTTTTATATTATAAAATGAAAATCATTACAATATTGGATGATAGAGGGGACTATCATGCAACTTCATTACTAAAAGAGTAACTTTTGGGGGGGAGCACTTTCTCTTTTCTGTTTATCTGTACTAGTTTTGCAAATCCTAGTAATAAAGTACTACGAGTTAGAGTTTTATAGCAAGTTTGTCCCATTGTTAAAAATGAATATAGTCATGTTTTAAACTTGGAGAAGTTATTGTTGAAAGTTAACATTATAGTCATGATGCCAATTGATTTATTTAAAACTCTATCATTTTCCTTTTAGTTATCCAAGCATTAGGTGAACATCTTAAATTAAGACAACAAGTTATTGCTACTGCTACAGTTTATTTCAAGAGATTCTATGCCAGGTAAGGCTATTTTATTTTTGGGGACTATGTTATAGCTATTTTAAATATTTTTCTTTCTTTTTTTTTTTTTTTTGCTTTGGTCAGTTGTGTGATTTGAACTCTGGCCCTGGGCACTGTCATTGAGCTCTTCAGCTCATGGTTAGCACTGTACCACTTGGAGCCACAGCACACTTCTGTTTTCTTGTGGTTAATTTATATAATTTCCTTCCTGGGCTGGTTTTGAACTGTGATCCTCAGATCTCAGCCTCCTGAGTAGCTAGGATTACAGGTGTGAGCCACAGGCACCTGGCTGAAATGTTTTTCATTCCTTCTTTGCTTCCTTGCTTCCTTCTTCCTTCCCTCCCTCCCCCCTCTTTCTTTCTCTTTCTTCCTTTCCCTCCCTTCCCTCCCTTCCCTCCCTCCCTGCTTCCCTCCCTCCCTGCCTCCCTCCCTCCCTCCCTCCCTTCCTTCCTTCCTTCCTCCTT